TATATTCAAAGAAGCGTATGGAAAGTTGTGAAATAATGAATGAACGTACTAAAATTATTATATAAAGAGTAGGTTTGGCTCTCTACATTTGAAAAGTCAAATCCACTCTTTATTTTAAATTTCAAATCAAAAAAGTTTGTCGGACTCCTAAAAAAAGGGATTGGCTATCTAAAATAAAGAGAATTGCGCTAATAAAGAGTCTGTCGGAGATCTCTTAAATGTTGTATCCCAACTTTAATCGTGCATTCTTATTACCCTTTGCTACAATGTAGCGTCTTTTTGATCTTTTGCAGGTAGTTAATGGCTTCATCTGGGGTGGTAAATCTGTTTCTAGTCATGATCTGACGGGTGGGCATACAACTGCTATTGGTGTATGTGATCAGCTTGTTTTAAAATCATTATCTAGAACTTCCTTTTAGACTGTGATGCTCATTTTAGTTCTTAGCGTGCCTATTGGTATAATTCAGAGGAAGAATTATCTATTGTCGCTTCTATACAGCTTATCCCATTAGGAACTGAATCTGATTTCGCCAGAACGCTTGGCTGGTCAGTCAAGGCATCTCCTGCTGGTTTTCTTTAGATTGGATTTACATTATTAGTAATTACTTTGGATTCTTGAATTGAAATACGAGATATGCTTGCTTATATTTTTGTCTCATCAGGAAAAAACGACCCTCATGATGCCATTGAACACACATTACATATTTCTTTCTAATCAATAATTTAGCCTTTTCCTTTCATAGTTTTTGTGGCTAAAAGTTCACTGCAATTTACTTCGCCTGTCTGGGAGAAATTATTTCAACAAGAAAAGGGATTTTTGGACCATTTTTTTCCAAAATTGTGGACCCATTATAACACAACAAAGTCAAATATTGTGGGCAGAACACTGTAACAACTGTTGGAATTTTGCTTGAAATCGGAAACAGACACAGCCGAACACCTGCAGGTGGTTATTCTTAAGGACTTCAAATGGTATGCCTTCATCCTCAAACTGCACATGCTACACAATGGGACGCACGCACCTGTCTGTCAGTAAGAAATGTTTATTCACGAAGGTATACTTTTGGTCTTGAAAAACTATTGTTTTTCATTTTTCAATGTTTTACATGTTTTATTTTATAATAGTGCATTGTTGTTCCACCAAGAATGTAATATACATTCTCGAATACGAAGTAGTTAATATGGATAGTTATGTTTAAGGCAATTGAAGTGGTAATTTAACTTCCGGTTTTGCTACCGGTACATCAAGATTTACATCGGCGTATACATCACACTCACATGGGGGTGGGACCCGCTTCAATAAAAAAATATTTTATACAAGCGGGTCCCATCTCCATGTGAGTGTGATGTANGCCGTTGTGATTTTGACTATTTCGAATTTTGAATTCTATTCGGGTCGGATACTCGTTTGTAGTATGTGAACCCACTGGGTAAGATTGGATCAAGGCAGTAGTGGATACCTATGCACTGATGTCCTCAACATCTTAAATTCGGCACTCTAAAAGGTGGACTTTGAGAAAATCGAACCAAAATCGAATATCAATAAGAATCTTAAAAATATAACTATTAGTTACATATCCAAGTATGGAATCGAATCAACGGATTCGAATTCGATTCGATCTGATTCTTTATATTGAAAATTATAAAAATAGAGTATAAAACTACTTGTTACATTGAAAATAGACAAAAATAGATTATGAAATCACTTGCTGTTCATGTAATCTATTAATACAAAATACAAATTAAACATGACAACACAAAAATTCATTCAAAAACTCAAGATCAACCCTTAAAAGGCATAATAATAATAATAATAATAATTGGATCAAAAAAATTCATACACCTATATATATTAAAAATAAATGTATTTATAATTTGATTATCTTTAGTCATCTTCAAGGATCTTGATTATTAATGACCAACCACTTTAAAAATAACGAGAAATTTGAATTCTTATGAAATATTGAACTAAAATATTTTTTTCTATTTGATTACATTAAAGCTATGAATTTGTAAAGTATTTAAAAAATTATTTAGATTTAAAATTTAACTACCACGTGGTTTTGCTACAAAGGAAAGAAGAAGAAGATTATGGAAAATGAAATTTTGACGTGAGATAATTTTAGAATTTAGCATTCAAAATCTGGTGCATATTGATGCAATGCATCAACAAAAAGAGAAATCGAAAGAATCGAATTCAATATTGGTTTTCAAGGTGGTACCAAGAATTGAATTGGAATCGATCGTTTCTCAATATGTGAACCCAAACCTGACCTACTTAGTAAAGGAATTGGAGTCGAATCGACCGATTCAAAGAAAAAATGTCCACCCTAATTTATATGGATGATAGTATTTTATTCAGTGTCACATTGTCACAAATGGCAATGTGACACTCACGTGATGTCATACTAAACTAATAATGATCTAAAGGGATTTTCTTTATTGCTAAACAATACAAGCGTCCACTTCAACTTTTCTATAAAAATTCAAATCATTGAAAATTTCTTGAACGTCTATGAAACTCATCAGCTCCATCACATGAATGTCACTTGATTATTTAATTTAAATAAACTACATAACGTGAATGTCACTTGGTTATGTAGCGCCTATTTGAGCCCCAGTTTTTGTTAAGAATGTATTTTAAAATTGTAAATTAATAAAAAATATGTAATTAAAAACTAAGAAAAAAATTTAGATTTTCGTGTAATATTATTTTATTTAAAAATAATGAGAATCAAAGCAGGACTTGACGTTTAAATAAATGCATCCCGATAGTTGTAAAATTAGTGTCACAATTTCAAATCGACCGGAGACAAAGGTACAACAAATGATATGTTAGATATACAAGTCTAACGCTCACGAAAGATTTGGAATTTGGGATCCCTAGAGAAATAGAAAACACCATCTCTGAACCATAGAATTCGTTAATGTTTAAGGAGCGTATCCTATTTGGTGTAGCTAAAAATAAGTTTTTTTTAGTAAATTTTGATAATTGTTGATGATATATGTGATTGAAAAGTTAATAAAAATTGTTGATTTTATGAAATATATTGTTAAAAGTAATTGTTAATTTTGACTTAAATTTTTATCAACTTTTCAACATACACCAAACATGGGAGTAGATTTTTTGAAAAATACTTTTTGGGGAAAATGATATTATTAAGAATGTGTGGTTAAAAAATAAAAAAAAAATTATAAATCCAAGTGCAAAAAAAACTTAATTGAAAAATGTATGGTTAAAAATGAGTTTTAATGAATCTATAAGCACATAGTGAAATTATTTTTAAATAATATTTTATTTGTAAATATGATTTTTAAATGAAAAATTGTTATTTAGCCCTTGTTTAGTCTCCATTATTTTGAAAATACATTTTTATCTCTGTTATTTTCAATCATATTCTTCCACAATATAATATTACATGCAAATTTGAATTTTTTCTTTATTTTTTAACAACACATTCTCCATAATTATTATTTCAAAATGCATTTTTTACGACGACCTTGTTTGATCCCCATTTTTTTGAAAAAATATTTTTTTCTCTCTTCATTTTAACCATACATTTTTCAATAAAATAATATTATTACATGCAACACAATTTTTTTTTTCATTTTTAATCATACATTCTACATCAATCTATTATTTCAAAAGGCGTTCTACTCAAAAAATGGGGCTTAAACATGCCCTACAAAATGGGGTTCAAACAAGCTTTAACGTTTAAGCCCCATTTTTTGTGTTAAGAATATATTTTGGATTGAAAGAGAATGTGTGGTTAAAAAAATAAAAAAAGTTTGGATTTAAATGTAATATTATTTTAATGAAAAATATGTGATTGAATAAAAGTGAGAGAAAAATGTATTTTGAAAATAATGAATATCAAACAAAAGTTTAGTAATCTTATGTGATTAGTAGCTTAATCTACGTCGAGTTCCCAATTCAAGTCGAATAAAAAAATTAAGGGCGTGTTCGGTAGAGATTAAAATTAGATTAAAATTAAAAAAATTAGCCGTTATTGTTGACTTTTATTAGATAAGTGGGACCCAATAACAGCCATATTTTTAATTTTAATTGGATTTCAATCGAAAACAAACAGACTCTGAAAAAATAATTGTATTATTAGGCGTGGTTTCAATTTATGATCTTGCTTGATTTTGAATTTTATGGCAATAATTGTTCTCATACCAAATGTGGTCCATTGTTAAAGTCATAGTGATGGAGACTTCTTTACTAGTCCATTATTTTGGTAGCAATTCTGCCTCAAAATTTGTGAAGAATGCTACACTTCTCTTGTCACCTAACTACACGTTTGGCTCCACTATTCCACATTATAACGAAGGTAATGATAATTTTTTTAAAGAATATATGATTAAAAAAAGATTTTTTTTTAATTTACGTGTAATATTATTTTATTGGAGAATGTGTGGTGAATAAGAAGAGGAAGAAAAATGAATTACAATTTAATGAAGAATAATTGAGCCAAACGTTACGAATCTCTAGCATGAGGTTTAGAATAACCTCAACATTTGCAAAAATGCAATTTACATATCATGTTATTAAAAATTGTAAACTACGCCGGGGGATCAACTTTCCTCGGTCAATCAGAATAAAAATTTAAGCCCATGTTTGGTGGCCTTTGTTTTGGAAAAGTATTGTTTTGAAAAGTAAGGAAAAATTTTGAGTTTACTTATAAAATATTTAGTGATAATAAATTGAGGTTTAGATTTTGACATGTTCCTCATTTGTTGACCAACTCTAATAATCGATGGAAAAAATATCTACTGATTTTGAAATATGCAACGCCCCACTTCTCTCTACCACTGTTTAATTAACAAATATATTAAATAATTTCGACATATTATTTAATTGAAATCCAAACATGAACAAATAACATACACATCTGGTTCAGTTGGTTCGGTTTGTTTCTATTCGGTTCTTAGGTTTCGTACAATAATTATTTTTTTATATTTAAAACAACGCTACATTAATTCAACTATAATATATTCAATCTCAACTTTTACAAAATAACACAGTCCAATCTAGTAATTTTTTTGCACATTTCTTTGTTGAGTTCTTCATGGATATGATTGTTAAAATAACAAGAAGAGGAAGATAATGAGTTCACAATAATAGAACGACAGAAACGATACTACGGTATAATACGAGATTTTGGTAAAGTTTAAGTCAATTTGATTAAGTTAAGCTTAGATAAAAATTGAAAATAATAAAATCATATTTTAAGTTTGAGTTAAATTAACTAGTTACCAAATTCATTTAGAAAAAAAAATAAAATAATTTGATTTATTTAGGATAAAAAATTAAAAAAATTAGAGATATTCGGTTTTATTCGATTCTTTGGTTCTAGGTCTAGAACCGAACCGAACCCGTCGATTCTCGATTTGGATATCCATTCGGGTATTTAATTTAAAAAGAACCGTTCAGTTCGGTTCGAGTCCTGTTTGGTCCAGTTCGATTTGAGAGTTTTGTCCAGCCCTACTAATTCTAGCCTAAAAAAAACATAGTTAATCGATGATAAAGAGCACTCGTGTTCCATTGAAATTGAAAAGACAGTTTTAACTTCCCCA